GGGTGCAGCGCTGTGTTGGTCGTGTGGAGTGATGTCGGATGTGGCCACCGGGAACACACACACGACCCAAAGGCCCCGGTGGCTGGGGAGGGGGGTTAACCAAACACAGCACTTGGACATCAACACAAATAAAGAAATTAAAGAGAAATTAAAGAAAGATTAAAAGAATAAGAATAATCATCAACAAGTCCAGAGCTTCTGGCTCCATCCAGGACTGTGGCATTGCCCTTGGGAATGCTGGATGATCCTGGTAAACCCCATGTGCCGGGAGCTGGGAACCATTTGTGCTATGGAACGTTGAGGCTGGGGCTGGTTGGGCATTGTCGGGGCCTGGATGAGTCTGTGCCACTGCATCAGATCCTAAGGTAGGCAACACATCAGGTCCCAGGGTCAGCACCAGACCCCAGGCTCAGGACCAGATCACAGGGCTCACACTAGATCCTGAGGCCATCACCAGATGGTGATGTTGGCACTGGATCCCAGGCTTGGCACCAGATCCCAGGGTCAGCACCAGATCCCGGGATCACCCCTGAGGCATCCCCACCAGAGTGGCTCCTTCCTCGGTGACTCCATCCCTGATCCTGGTGCCGATCCTGGTGCCAATCCTGGGATGGACCCTCGGCTGCTTGCCTGGTCCCTGCATCATGGCATCTCCCCACTCCCCACATCCCTTGGGAGCTCCCAGCCTGATCCGGGCCCCCGGCTCGGGAAATGGTTCCTGATGCTTCTCATTTTTCCCACGCTCCCAGCGCCGGGTGATGAGCAGGGCCAGAATCCGGTGGCGTTCCTGGGTTCAGCTCCCAGCTGGAGCCTCCGGACACGCTGGTCCTCACCCTTCAGCTCCCAAAACACCCACCCAGCACCTTGGGAACACTCCCGGGAGCACCCAACATCCTGAACCCACTCACTTACAGCGGAGCCCCAGGGGTGGCTTCACCATCCCAAAGCCTTATCGCACCACCATGAGACGGAGCAGACCCCTGAGGAGGGGATGGGGGACACGGGTACCATGGGACAGGGCTTGGGACACGTGGGACACGGCAGCACCCCCGGTCCCCCCTGCCGGCCCCTGCTTCCCCCCTGTTGTAAAGTAGAGATTTACAAGTGGCCCCAAGTGCCGGAGAAGCCAGGATCAGGAGCAGCCTTTATGGAGCCTCATTAGGGGCTGCAGCTATGCTGGGAATGTCGCAGCTAATTACAGCCGTGGGGCGGGGCTCCAGAGGCCTCATGGGGCTGGGAGCTGGAGAACATTCTGGCACAACGACTGGACACAAGGATGTGGCTCCGGCTCTGGGTCAGCCAGGCCCCAGGCCTTGCCAATGTGTCTCTGTAGACATTGGCCATGTCCCTGCTCCAGCCGAGGTCCTCCGGGACATGCTGGAATGATGCTCCCCCCTTGTACTCCATCCCTGCACCCATCCCTGGCAGTGTTCAAGGCCAGGTTGGACACAGGGGCTTGGAGCAACTGCTCTTGTGGAGGGTGTCCCTGCCTGTGGCAGGGGGGTAGAACTGGAGGAGCTTTAAGGTCCCTTCCAACCCAACTGAGGCTGGGATTTGATGACTTGGATCCCAATGGAGCCCTGAGGCTGCGGATCCAGCACCTGGAGACTGGCCTTGCCTTGGACAAGCAGTTTTATTATGAAACCAAGAACAAGAGGCCACAAACGTGGAACGGGCGGCAAGGACCTCGTGAGCCCATAGAAAATGCTTCGTACAAAACTCGACGTAGAAACCCGACGGCACCACAGGAACATTCCCATATGGATTCGAGTCATGCAGCAGCGACAGCCCCGGAGCTGCCCATGGGGAAGGGAAGGGACGGCTGAGGGGCTGCTCCGAGTCATTGGGTGCCAACGGGAACCCAACAGAGGCGGTTTGAAGGCTTCTACATTAGGCAAACAGGATCTATTGCTTGTCAAGGACCAGGAATGAGCCTCTGGATGCTCCCCTCATGCCTCTGGCACTGCTCTGTAGCACTGACGAGGTGAACATTGCGCTAGGGAGAGGTTAAGGTCAGAAATAAGAACCCTGAAGCGTCAGTGTTGGGACAAGGGTGGGATTCCAGCCATGGCGCCCACCCAGAATCCTAGGCAGGGAGATGGCTGAGGAAATGTATCCCCGAGGACCCTGCGAAACCCCCGTGGAATGGAGCAGGGAGAGGATCCGTTTGCAAACCATTTGCTATGGCAATTCCAGCTCCAGTTCCCATGAGCCTCACCCAGGAGGAACTGGCCACCGGCTGTGCCCATGGCTGCAAACCAGAGACAAGCTGCTTGAAGAAACCCCTTCTCGGAGGCTGTGCTGGGGCAGGACAGCAGAGACCAGCACAGGATGGGGGGACGAGGCCACTCCGTGCCCCGGCTGCTGGGGGGGGACCCAGCACCGAGTTGGGAAGCGGGTTCTTCTTTCTGCTCAACTCTTCTTCACCTTTAAACTTGGGAACTGAGGAAACCACTAAGGACACAATGGAACAACTACGGGGGATTCCCTGCCTACTCGTCACTAAAACCTGGAGGAAGAGTGGGGGAATGTGAGGAAGGGGGAGGAAGAGTGAGGAGGAAGAGGAGGGTGCAAGGCTCAGACGATCCCGAAGCGCTCCGCTCTTTTCCTCTTCTTTGCCTGCCAAGAAGAATGACAAGGGAAAAGCAGGAATCAGAACTAAAAGAATCAATTGAGCAAATCTCACACAGAACCCGATGGGGAACCACAAGGAGTTTGGTGCCTGGGAATAAAGCTGGTGCTGGCAGCTCTGGCAGCCCCAGGATTTGGGTCTAATGCTGGGACAAAGAGTCCCCTCGAAGCGGAGTGGCAGGAACAGGCGCTAGGAAGGGGCTGGCCCAGGAACAAAGCGGCTTCAGAAGCTGGGAAGCGCGGGCAGGAGGTGGGGAGGTGGGAAATGGAAAAGGGCAAAGGGTTAACACTGCCCTATTCATAGGGAAGGTGAGAGGGACACACTAAAACACATTAAATACACTATGGCCTCACTCCGCTTCACCCTGAGCCCAGACACGAGGGGTGTATAAATCTTCATTTCTAGCAGAGGAAACAGCCCAGGGGCAGCAGAAGCCCCAATCAGGAGTCTCCGGGGGAAAGGTGCATTTGAGTGCACACAATGCCAGTAAAAAGACCTTTTTGTTCCAGGCACAATCTCCAAGTGACCTAAGGAGAAGCATGGAATCCCTCGCCTGGCAGCCCCCAATGCAGGCTGGGAACACTGCGCTGCTGTAAAGCCACCCCAGGTCCACACACCAAGTCAGAAACGCCTTAAATCCCACTGGAAGCATTGAGGTGGCTCTTAGGGACCCTGTTCGCCTCTACTAAGCCAGTCTGGGTGCGGACACGGCGGGGCCCCAGCCTGGGGTGAGTCCCATTGTCCATATTTACGTGGTGTTCCCAACCCAACCCCACCCAGGAGCTGCCATGCTGGAGCTCTGGTGACCAGGAGCAGTTTGAAGCTGCCCCCAGCAGGTTTTACCTCTGCGTCCTCTGTAGCTCCAGCCGAACTCGTCACGATGCCAAACCGCTCCTTCCTCTTCTTCAGCTTCTCGTCCTCTTCATTCTGGCACAAAGAAAGACCACGATTTAGGAGGCTGGCAGTGCCCAGGCAGCTCGTTGCATGGGGAACCCTGTTCCTCCTACCCCCCTTTGACACCAGAGTGCCAGCACAACCTCCTTGCTACACCTCCCACATCCCCATGACACTGCAGCCTCTCTGCTTGGAATTCACCCCTGCCCAAAGCCCTCAGCATGAGGGAGGGTGGCAAGAAAAGGAAAAGCCTGTGGGGAGACCCTCTCCTGGATCCAGCTCAGGGGCAACAGCACAACAGCACAAGAGGGACATGGAGCTGCTGGAGCAAGTCCAGAGGAGGCCCCGGAGCTGCTGCGAGGGCTGGAGCAGCTCTGCTCTG